CCCCCCCCCCACAGGGCCCCAGCGCCCTCACTGCCACTGCCTCTGCTTGCAGTTCAACCCCAGGACCTTCCACGGGGATGTGGCCCTGCTGGAGCTGACGCGCCCGCCGGTGCCCACGCCGTGGGTGAGCCCCGTGTGCCTGCCCGATGGCCCCCTGGAGCCTGCCCCGGGCACGCCCTGCTACATCGCTGGCTGGGGCTCCCTCTACGAAGGTGGGTGTGGGGTAGGGAGCAGGGGCACGTGGCCCTGGCCTGAGCCCCCTGGCGCTGGGTCGCTGCCCAGCTGGGGTTGGGGCGGCTGCTCCCTGGTGTGATGGGCTCTTGCACCTGCAGAGGGGCCGGCGGCCGAGGTGGTGATGGAGGCCCAGGTGCCCTTGCTGAGCCAGGATGCCTGCCGCGGTGCGCTGGGCCGGGACTTGCTCACCAGCGCCATGTTCTGCGCCGGGTACTTGTCGGGTGGCATCGACTCCTGCCAGGTACCAGGCGGGGAAGGGCCAAACTGGGGGTGGAGGGAGAGCAAGGCCATGCGCCGTGGGGCGTAGGCACTAGGAAGCCCCAGCCAGGACTCCTGGGTCTCTTCGCCGGGTGTCCCCTCACCCTGTGCAGGGGACAGGGGCTTGACAGGGTCCCAGGGGACCCCCCACCCCCTGCCAACCAGAGATGATGCTCCTGGCCCAGGGAGACTCCGGGGGGCCCTTGATGTGCCAGGACCCCGGGGCGCGGCACTTTGTGCTCTACGGGATTACATCGTGGGGCGACGGCTGCGGGGAGCGGGGCAAGCCAGGTGTCTACACCCGCGTGGCCGCCTTCGCCAACTGGATCGCCCGCCAGATGCAGCGTGAGCATCACTGCGGGGGGGGGCATGGGCTAGGGCAGGGGTGCCTGGGGCAAGCAGCCCAGAGCTCAGGGCTGGGGGCAGGGGACGGGCGCTGCAGGATCCTCAAGCCCTCTAATGCTGAACCCCCCTGCCCCCCCAGAGTCACCTGCCAGCCGTGAGCCCAGCTGCCCAGAGCTGCTGGCCCTGCCCCATCTGCCCACTGAGCGCCAAGCCCCTGAGCGCGTCCGCCTCTGCTCCTTCTACGCCCGCAGCTGCAGCCCCCCCACGGCCCAGGAGGCCTGTGTCCGTGCCACCCAGGAGGCCTGCCAGACCCGGCAGCATCGATGCGGTGAGTGCCGGGGGCTGCCAGGGTGCCAGAGCTGAGTGCAAGAGCAGGCCTGGGAAGTGCCCGGCTGCAGCTGAGGGGGTCGCTGACCTGCCCAGAGCTCTGCTCTCTGCCCACCCCCGGGTGCCCTGTGCAGGGGGCACAGCTGGGGGAGCTCTGAGGGTGGTGGGGGTGGAGGGCACCGTGGGACACCTGCACACCCCTGCGCCCCCAGAGCTGCGCGCCTACGCCCAGAGACTGCTGGACTTCCTGCGCCGTGCCGAGGAGTTCTTCCAGGCCCGCCTGGACGTCTCCTTCTTCACCCAGGCCCTGCCGCGGGCCCTGGAGCAGCTCTACACCCACCTCTTCCCTACCCAGGTGCACCGGGTGACTGCAGGTACGGCCACCCCCCACCCAGCAGGTGCCCGCTGCCTGACCGCCTACCCCTATACACGGCAAATGCCACTGCCCGCCTTCTGCCCCAAACCAGGTGGGTGCCCACTAATGCTGGGCTGTGGGTGCCAAGAGCTGCTCACATCTCCACCTCCCCTGCTCGAGCCCCTGGCCCAGGGGCTGCCCAGCCAGGCAGCCAGCCCGAGCCCTGTCCCTGGCAGGCACCTGTCCTTGCTGGGGCACCAGCCCGGTCCCTACACAGGTCAGCCAAGGTGTGGCACAGCCACTGGGCTGGGGGTCCTGGCCCCCCTCTGCCCCCAGGCTCTTGGCTGCCAGCTCTGAGCCCTGTGTCAATCCCCCAGAGCAGGCCTCGGACGCAGCTCGGGGAGGACACGCTGGCCCCATGAAGCAGGCAGCAGGAGGGATTCAGAGCCCCACACGCAGGTACAGTTATGGGGGTGCGGGGAAGGGGGTAGCGCCAGTGCCTGGCACAGGCCAGTGCAATGGGGGCTGCTCCCCGCGGCATGCAGAGGAAGCAGCCAGTGCCCCGGGCTCGTGCCCTACTCAGGCAGACACCCAGGGCATGCATAGAGCTGCAGCTGTGGTGCACTGGGGCAATGGAGGGGCAGCCTCTGGGGGGGCACAGGAGAGGCAGATAGGGGCAGCAGGGAACATAACTCATGGGCCTAGGCGCAGGGCAGGGGTCCGCGGTGCTCCTGGCAACGCTCGGCTGGGGCTGGGGC